TGTCGGATAACTTTGTTCGGTATCTTGTTCTTCAAAAAAACATAGCACAGAGCACCCAGACCAAAATAGTTCATTTCCAGTATTGGTTCTACTGAAAACTCCTCATTCACCACCCACAGTGCAAACCATTGTGCCACCAAGATTGTCTCAACCATATTATGTAGTTGTTGATACGAGATCTGTTCGACCTTTAAGATGTGACAAACATACTTAAATCATACATACTTAAATCTCGATTACTGAGATAATGCCGTTAGATTTCTTTTTAAAAATTAAGCGTCCTAAAGCCGCAATACAATGTAACTAAAATTGAGGCTATCAACGCAAAAGTGGTGTAACACAAATTTAATTTTTTTCTACAATGTTACTTTAAATCAGAGGTTCCCAAACTTCTTTCTCATAGACCACTTTCAAAATTTTGGTGGTTCCGGTGGACCCCCTGCAGCTACATTTCTACCATATTCCATATACATATTATTTTTTGTCACGCCACCGTAGATCCCCGTCGAGTTTCCCGTGGACTCCTGGGGGTTCGCCTGGACCACTTTGGGAACTAAGGCTTTAAATGATACTAAAGTATATTTGTATCATTTAAAGCCTTAGTACAAATTATATTATGTTTTTGTCTACCTAGTTTGAGCTCCTACCTAGTCTACATGTTGAGAGAAAATAAACGATTTATTATTTGATAGCCTCAATTAAATAATAAGAATAATAATCATAATAAAGTTTATTTGACAGAATGCTAGCAACAATTTTATGGTTACCGCGGTCCCCATACTAGGCAAGCCTGTATCGTGAGGTCCCATACAATCAATTTATATAATATAATACTTAGCCTCTAAAACGAACAGAAAGTATTAAAAATATTTAAACAAGTAAACCTAAGACATAAGAACAACCCAAAAATATTATGAACCCTCTGCACAAACATTCTCGATACTCCAAACGCTAATATGACTTAGTGTTATGAATTATGAATCGAGAATTAACTCTTTGTTTGTTTTTACATCATAATACTTACTCAAGCTTACCTACAAACCTTTATTTCACGTCCTCAAATCTGTATGCGTCACTCAAGTCGTTAAATTGCAAATGCCTGACCACTGATGTGTTGATACTTGAAACACACGAGTGAAGTAAAGTAAATTGAAAAATAAAAATTTATCCACAAATACACCAGTCAAAAGTTTTACTACAAAAACAATCGAAAACAATCACGTAGCACAAAAAAACATACGAAAATAATGGTACAAACAAATGACATCACGTAACACGATTTAGTTTTTGGGTCTATTAATATGATTTTCTAATTGGTTTTCTCACATAAGCACGAAAAAACTTTATTTCCCTGCAAAAAACTTAGCTTTCGTGGTCAGGACAGCTGAAAGTTGAAATTTGCGTACAATTTTAGGATTTCTCTTTGTTTATAAATCTCAGCACAGAGTACTAAAAAAAACCGACCTCAAAAGTACGTGGAATTACGTCTATTTGCTAAGTTTTATTGAAATATCCTTAAATTCGCCACTATACAGGACTTGACACTGGAGATAATAAAAATCGGTTCTCACTACTCAAAGTATATTGAGAGAAACGAAACGCCTTGAATTGGAGAAATAGCAAAATAAACCATTAAAGTAATTGCTCCTAAATTAAAGTTAGGCGCTATTTATAAAAATGAATCTTCATGCGTGAACAGCCACCCTTCGAGGAGGATGATTTTCTTCAAAATGAAATGGGACCACTATGGAAGTACCCCCTTTCCAACAAAAAAAGAATCATGAAAATCGGTTCACAAATACCGGAGTTATCGCGTAACATACATACAAAAAAAACTCAGAAGAATTGAGAACCTCCTCCTTTTTTGTAGTCGGTTAAAAACAAAAGGGAACAACAATTATATTTCAACCAAAATTCTACAAATTGATGACAAAGAATATATTGTTTCTTGAAGTGTTAAATCGTCGTGTACAAAGATGTCTTAAAATGTTTCAGTTTTAGTTTAGGACTAGTCTGTGTTGATGGAACTTTTACCGACCAAGAGCTTCTACGTGTTAACAACTTATAATAGCACATCGAGTATATAACGAGAAATAGAGAAGAAATAAGGCTCACCCATTATATCACTTTTATCAACTTTCGTTTGCGCTGAAATCACAAATTAGAAAGCTGAAATAGTACAGCGCCAACAACTGACCTGTGTGTACGTCTCCGTATATTCGAAAAATGTTCTGCATTTATTATAATAAAGATAATATAATAAGATAATAATAAGATAGTTTATTTATAGATATATTGATAGATATTTATTATAATATCTCTAACAATGGGGGGCTGTTCCATTCGGTGGTGTGGGAAAAACAGAAATACATGTAATTACAAAACTTACGGAATCACATTTTATCGGTAATTAAATATGAAATATGTAATTATTCCGTCCATTAATAGCAAAGCTCAAGTTAAACTGATCGTTTTTTGTGGTCGATGATTTGAAGTGAAACAGTTGACGACACCCGTCAATTGTTTCTGATTCGGGCTAGCCAATCGGAGCGCAGTTGTCACCGAAATGATTTGGCAGAATAGTTTTTAAACAAATGAAATGACATTTCGTCTCTAGTTCTGTTTATCAACTCGATGTAATAGTAATACAGAACATCTGTAAACTTCCGCCAACATCTACTAAAATTCATGTATTGGAAACGCAGAAATTTTTATCAGTTTTATTAATTTGTTCAGTATAAGAGTACGCTCAGCTTTACACATCAGATTTATGATTGAATGAAATATTGTTTATTGTACATAAAAAAATACAATGACAACACAGAATGTACGTGGTTCGATGACAGTTGCAAACCGCTGTTTAAAAGGCTGAACATGTTACCTTTGCCATGCATGTACATTAGGGATATCTGCGTATTTGTCAACTCTCATCCTCAATATTTTAAAACACAATCCCATTAATATTTGCACATCTTCTTGCAGGTTGAATACAATGTACCTAATTTTACTTAAGACCTTTGTAATTACTGTATTCTGGCAAATAAACGTATTCTATTCTATAAGACAGGTGACCTCATTGCTAAATAGCAATTTCATTCAGGCAACTATAGGATAGAAATTTAAGAGTTGGAAAGGCACAAAGGCAATTTATATGCAACTCAGCCAATTATGATAAACAAAGTCTGTCGTGAAAATCTCAGTATGCAGTTGACTGTAAATTTGCATTATTTATCTATATTATTATATACACATTTTTTCCGAACATACTATGATGTTGTTTTTCCAATGATACAGACATATATTATTGGTAGAGCAGAATCTGGAATTGTTATTATCCAGTAACACTAAGTTATTTTCCAATAACATATATTTTAATGGTAGGGCAGCATCTGGCAATAATTTTATTCGAATATATTATTCAAGTCCAATAACATAATTTAAGACAGTATTTATATGTTCTGTGTTTTGTGAATGATGCAAGCCATTAGCATGAATACACAGAATCTATTTGCTAACTCGTTTTAACATTTATAATTTACAAGTGGAATTCGCGTCGTGTTTTGCAAATATCTCCTTCAATTTACATATCTATCACAACACGTGGTTCAACGAACTTCACAGCTGTACTGATCTAAAAGTACAATATAAACTCCAATATCGTAAATACAAATACAAATTTATGTCGTACGGAAGGAGATTACATTTTTATCTTTAATCAATTTTATCATGACTGATTGTTTGTGTGCAAAAGCTTGTAAGATATGTAAAGAGTAAATGGTTTTGTTTATAATTATTATCATTATGTTTATAATTTTTATAAAATGTTTAATTAGTATGACTTTTTACTATACAGGGTGTAATAGAAAAGGTTGACCGCAATATTTAGGTATGTGGTTGTAGTCAAGGTAACAAAATTTATGTGTACTTTAAATAACACGCTTACATGATTAAGATTCATATCGTCTTGCTTAAGATGTTTACTGTCCAACTTATGTGTTGAATTGAAGCATCCTTTCTGCAACAGTTTTTTTTTACTATCTTCAGCCCCGTAGCATGGCTACGCATGATAGTCGCGACGCGAGCGATGAAATTGAAATAAGCGCGCGCTATTGGCTATCTAAATTAGATCTGATTGATACATCCAATAGCGCGCGCTTATTAAAATTTTGTTGCGCGCGTCGCCACTATCATGCGTAGACATGCTACGGGGACTGATATTCTGCACCACTGTATACAACACAGTTTACACGTAAACAAATGTCATGTTAAATAATAATAATGTGCTAGACAACAGTTATCTGATCTCAAACTAAGGAATTTCCTGTGCTATGAGTACCAGAGCAACGATATTAACTCGGAAGCACTACCTTAAACTACCACTAAAGTTCGTTTTTCAAGTTATGCTACCGGGTATCAAAACCGAGACCTCCTCATCTAGCTCCGTTAACCGCTGGGCGACTGAGGACATGAAAATTACCATCATCTAAAACTCGATTAATAAGTAGAGGTTTTTCCCTTTATTTATAAGGTACCAATAAGTATATTTACAATCTAACCAATAAGGAGACAAGAAGTAATTTACATTTAATTTAATTTAACAAATAAACAAATTAAACTAACTATTTACCCAGTGTTAATTTTGTACACATCTATTAAGACGAAGACACTTTTATCATGTATTCTTTTTATGCAGTGTCATTAGCACTATTTAAATTAATCATACATCAAATAATTTTGTCCGTTTTAATCATCAATGATGTCTGTGTATTCAAGAAGCTGATTGGTCGATGTTCACGTTATAGTAAAGACTGCGTTGATGAGCTTCGGCGTACTTTTTTTTTATAAATAAGTGGATAGAAATGTGTTTTGGTCCGTGTTTTCGTGTTGCGGAGTTTAAAACATGCAACACTGACGTTAAAAATCACTGTTTCAACGCTTTGAAGTAACTTACCAGTTTCCCCGTCTGCAAACACAGGTCTCACCAATTGCCATCTTTTCAGAGAGATACACCTCCACAACAACTACTTACGAGTCCTTCCGTACGAGTTGGGTAAACTGTTCCATCTGCAGCTGTTAGGGCTGCAAGGTAACCCGCTCAGCAAGGAGATGCTGTCCATATACAACGACAACAACGGTACTGCGAAGCTTCTTACTTATATGCTCGACAATTTACAAGGTAAGTGATTGTGATATCACATTAGTAACACTTGATTATTTTATTTGTTCATTGTCCGTTACTTGACAATAAACTTCAGAGTGTAATAAAAAAGTGTAGACGGTATATTTTAGCATACAAAGACGCCCGTGAAACTTATTAACCCCATTTTTGTAAGTATGATAAAAAACGTTTGGCTTTAGGAATCTGTCGTCCTTACAATATTTTGTGTCCAATACTGTTTTTACTTGCGATATAATGTAACTAAGTGTAATGGGTCCCCATAATTCCCAATGGGCATTAATAAGTTTGATGACGTTTGTGGTCGAGAGGTTTGCACACCGGTTTTCATGGTGTCGCCATCTCTTAAGTCCCGGATTCGATCCCCAGCCCAATCTTTAAAAAAAAACTTTTCTATGTCGTTTTGCGTCTGGGTTTTTGTGGTACCGTCGTTGTTGCTGATTTCCATAACTCAAGTGCTTTATTTACCTACTTCGGGATCGGAGCAACGTATGTGATGTTGCCTAATATTTATTATAACTGCAACTCAATCTTGTCGACTACTGTAGTTGGTATCGAACTAATATTTATTTGTGAATATTGAATTTTTTGTAATTTCACATTTGTGTTACACCGTGTATTTCTACATACGTAATTTTTCCACAACAGAAATTTCCAAGTTGATTTCTCTACTTTTATGGCAAAGTATGAATTTCTTTAATGTGTAATAAACAAAATTCAGCAGGAAAACAGCGATAATTGTTTCGATTTATTGTGTGTCCGTCAACAAGCAGCGATATATATAGGGGTATGTTCCTTGCCTAAACACTCTAAACCTGCAGTGCTACCACCAAAATATCGATAAAGGCGAATAATGCGAGCCGTGATTGTTTAAAAATTGTTATAATCAAAAATAAAACTAATGAAGAATATACGCACATAGTTCAAAAAATGATCGCATAAAAAATGTAATAGTCCGAAGGATCTCAAAAACATAGGCCAGACAAACACACTACTTTTCAATACCTAATCTTGTAAACAAGTATTTACCATAATTAAAGTGGACTTGGTGCTCCTGATAAATCGTTCCCTATGTGTATTTATATGTGTTAATCTGGCACTGTCGAAAACTATGTAACCAAAATATAGTACACAAATTTATATTTAAAATAAATTACTCCTAAATGGGGCCAACAGTGTAACGTTACAACGACACAAGATTCTTATACTAATTCAACGAAGAATGTTCCTTGTAGTATTACTAGTAATGAATCAAAAACATTTTTACTGTAATTGTAAATCCATTTAATATAAATTACTACAATCACATTGTGTAGACATCAGTATAGAAACGCCATCTATGACTTGAAGACGATATTAGCACCACTGACGTTCGTTTACCACGCTGCTCAACAGATGTCGTTACGTAGTACGTTTTGTAGTTTATGACTTGGTTGAATTTGTAGTTCCTACACACTTGATCTTATAAAAAAAAAGATTTAAAATGGATTTACAATTTGTGAAAAATACCTAAACTAGGCGATTGACATGCGCATTTTTAAAAAGATGGATTTGTCACAATTGCTTGACGATCTCGGTTTGGGTAGAATAATTGGGTAGACTCTGCTGCATCTGTCTAAGCTCTTTAAATTTGTTCTGTGGCATTTACACATTTTGGTGAACAAAGAAACAGTGACTTTGACATTCTAACTTTATTAATAATTTGCGAATCTCCGAAATAAACCGCATTTTTAAAAGACATCACGACTTTATTAATGGGGTTAGTTAATTCGACCGTTAAGCCTCGGTATTTCCCGGTTTTACCTATTTTTAATTAAAAACTCGTCGCAAGTTGAAATTGGTTCCGTCGTCATGTTACGGAATATTAATGAACTATATTTCTTCTGACAAGACGATGATTTCAAAATTAATTTCCATTAGTAGAGACACCATTATGAATTCAAAACGTATTAATACCTATGAAATATTCATATAGAATGTGATGTGTTTTTTGAACATGGCAGGCTCTAGCAAAGATATTGAAGGTATATTATACATTTACTCACATGTACTACAATAGGCTGACCTACATGTAACATGTTGTTTTGGATTTAATAAGTAAGTCAACAATTTAAACGCGGTAATAGCTATTTGGGTTAATTATAATAATACAATTACAATTAGCCTGATGTGTCCCACTTTGCCCAGCAAAGGCCTCCTCCTGATTCCTCCACGCATCTCGATCCTGAGCTAACTGGACTGGACCCAGTAGGTGTCCAGTTCATCACGTCATCGCTTCCTCGGTCAGTTACCTTGGCCCACAGGTATTCAGGCAGGCATGCGGTAGACATGACCAGCCCAACTCCTTTTCAGCTTCGCAGCTTTTTGGGCTACATCAACAAACCGAGTTTGGGAGATTTTAATGATAATAAATTGTAAAATGTGACTAAATCAGAACATAATATCAATAATAATAATTTGAGTAATTTATTTATTCATTAAATTTTAAGTAATGTCGAAATTAATATAGAATTGTCAAAAATTTAACAATGAAGTTACGGTTTCGTCATTTAAAAATTCAGACATTTTATACTACATTTTATTACTCAAAAAGTCGTTTAGTTGCTTTTCTAAATCTCAGACCTATTTCGGTAAATTATTCTAAATTTTTTAGACTAAAGTAGGCTACATATAATAGAGTCGATATAGTTTTATTAATTTATTAAGGTAGCAAGTTAATAAACTTTTTTTTAAATTATTGTATTGGGTTGATATTGACATAATTAATTATAATATAAAAATGCGTCTCCCTGCTGTCTTCAATCTCGAATCTGCGGAGTCCGGTTTTGAAGGGTGCTGGTGAAATTACAGGCACACGGGACTTATCAACTTATGTTCCAGGGTGACGGGCTCAGTGGCGTTGTCCCTCAGATCTTTGCTATTTAAAGGTCTGAGCAGCAATGCAACTGTCATTGAAGGCATGTCGCTAACCACCAGACGCATAAAAATAAATGCAAGCGTTCTCAAACAAGCAAGTTTCATTGCCAATTTTTCAGCACCAACGTTACAACAAGCAAATTAAACTGTGCAGTACTGTACAGGATGTGAAAATACTTAGTGGTTCAAGCGAGAAGCGCACCTACGACCTTCTACATACCAGGCAAACGTTCTCAAAAACAACTAGGTTAACCAGCATTCTCCCTGCTAACTTTACAAAATAAGAGACTAAAATTAAAAGGCGTCTCATCATGACCACGTACAAACTTTATCTCATTAAAGAATAGCTTTCGAATAATTTTCAATTGCTTTGATGTCCGTTGCCACGCTCGAGTTATTATTGACCTTTGTGTTCTCTCAGTTGATCCATATCTGTACAGAGCTACAAACTCATCCGTAATATTAGTGTATATGCAGTGTAGCAAGCAACTGTCAGTTCATTTAAATTTTTTCAATGTTGCTTTAGTTCCTTTCTTTACCATATCTTAGTACGTTGGCATTGTCAGCAATGTATAATTATAACTTTTTTTGGAAATTTCGACTCAAAAGGTTGCCTATTCATTTTCGCTGCGTTTTATTTTCATTGAAATTATGTCTGGATGCTAAATTGCATTGAAATCCGTGAACAGCGAAATTCAACAGATCGAATCCCTCCCCCAATTTATCACCCTTAGAGGTGGAATATTTTCTTTATATTCGAATACGTCAACTACCAACAAAAAAAAGAGTTATCGAAATCGGTTCACAAGTTTCGTAGTAAAGTAATGAATAAATAAATAAATAATCGCGGAAGATATACCATAAAAAATACAGACGAATTGAGAACATCGTCCGTTTTTGAAGTCGGTTAACAACTAACCCGCATTGGGCCAGCGTGGCGGACTATGGCCTAATCCCTCGTCTGAAAGGAGACCCGTGGCCCAGCAGTGGGACATATAAATGGGTTGATGATGAACAACCAACATATTTTAAATAATGTGGTCCCGTTTCCGTTGCTAACTTTTAAACAAACGACAACGTCGTCTTATAAACGTCAACGTTATTAAATGTATTTTATTGTCTTTGAGGTCTTTTTTATATTTTTTTACATTGTAGTCGCGAAAAGCCAAGAGAAATAAGAAAAAAGCATTCATGGATGGAGTTCCATATTTAGCAAATAACACAAAGTGCTTACAAAGCTAAATAGAGATTTAAAAAAAAACAAAACTACTGAGCAATTGGACAATAACGTTAATAATAATACTATACCAAGACACGAAAGTGGGGTATCATCGCCAGATCGATTATTAAGATCTAATTGTAGTAGTTAAGTGGGTCACGGAAGCGCATTAACTTAGTTTCAATTGAAAGTTGCAAATCGTTTTTCTTTGCAGCGGCCTTTTATTTGCTTCTGTAATCGACTTCGTAGATCTTGAAGGCTTACTCAGTACTAAAGTCATATCGATTTAAACATTATAAAACTGTATGATGACAAAAATTTTTGAAAAAAATATTCTCAAAAGCATATCGCGCTGCTATTACAATAGTGTTGTAATTGAAAATATGTTAAGTTCAAGATTATGCTATTTCTGAACGTTAAATTTGTTTATCTACATGTCAACACAAACGTGTCATTACAATATTATGAGAAACAATAAAATTAAAAGATATATATTTAAAATCAAAATGAGAACTTTTTGTGAACTAGTTGTGGACAAGACAGTCCTTACTCAAATTGAATTCATTAAATTATTTATTTACTATATATATAATATATATATATATATTTGGCAAGTAGGTATTGTTTAGATGGCTGTACTACACTTTATTTATACATTTTTTTTTTAATCTTTTGCGAGAACCAAATAATTCGTTTATCATCGATTCTGGAAAAATACACTTTTTGAGTTAATACGCTATTGTATTATACTGTGCGATATGTCGTTTATTCTCAAGAACAATGGCTCAATCCAAAATTAACCCTTTTGGACTTATTACTGAGATTTATTCAGAATATCGCACTGCCATTACAATAGTATTGCAAT